CTTAAAGGTGCAGTGACTTTTTTTTTTTTTTTTTTTTTTGGCTCAACCAAGTTTTTTTTCCTGCCATATTTGGGATTTTTGGTGAAAGCATCTGGCAAGCCTAGCCCGAAGAGACAAGACATTTCTCGCAGGGGTGGCTTAGCAGTATTCTGAGAGAAGGGCAGCTCCAGGAGAAGGAGGGCATTCACCCCATACCTCACTCCGCTGGGGTGCCTCTTGCTAGGGCTATGCCACCATGGAGCCCTCCAGCCCAGCCCTGTGGCAAATCAAATTATACACAGTCACTCTTTAACAGCATGAAATAAATTAGCATTGGGACCAACCAGTACAGCTCCTGGCACCAGGACTGTCCTGAGGGGGAGCACAGGCAACCCTGGGCAACCCACCCCATCCCAAAGCCCTTCCCCTTCTCTCTCCCCTGAGCAATGTGTCCTAGGCAATTACAGGGGCCTGGTGCAGCAGCAGCAGCGGTCACCTCCCTCCAATCACCACGTAGGCAGCGGGAGCTGGAGAGGCCTGGCGCCCTCCCGGCCTGCTTCTCCATGGTGATGGGAAGCAGAGCATCTTGGGGCCACGGCACGATGCTTCCTGCCACCACTGAGAAGCAGCATGCAGCAGGCCGGGAGAGGGCAGCGTGGTGGAGTGGGAGCAGTACAGGCTACTGGGCCGCTTCGGCTCCCTCTTCCAACACGGTGAGTGTGTGTGTGAGGGGGGGAACCCCTCCTGCCTCCCTGCACCAGGCCCCCATAACCCCCTTGGTCCCTCCCATCCACAAGCGCAGGGTGTGGGGCGGCTACCCTGATTTGTCCTATGGATGGGATGGCTCTGCCTGGCACTTGTGTAACTGAAAGGCAATGATGACAAGATGAGTATGCAGGAAAAAAAACCCAACAAAATGAGCACCGGGTCTGAGAGTCCGGTCGAGCAAGAAAGATGAATTTTATTGTGGGGGGGTTTAGCTACGAGACCCTGCCTTAGGGACAAAACCTACAGGAATGACTAGAGAAGGATATCCGCACGATCAGGGTTTAAATATGAGTCTATAGTAGGGAGATCTCATTTCTCCGAAGTTTTTCTAGGGATTTCAGAGCTATGTCTCCACAACTCCTTGGCTACGTCTAGACTGGCATGATTTTCTGGAAATGCTTTTAACAGAAAAGTTTTCCATTAAAAGCATTTTCGGAAAAGAGCGTCTAGATTGGCATGGACGCTTTTCCGCAAAAGCACTTTTTGCAGAAAAGCGTCCGTGGCCAATCTAGATGCGCTTTTGCACAAAAAAGCCCCAATCGCCATTTTTGCGATCGGGGCTTTTTTGCGCAAAACAAATCTCAGCTGTCTACACTGGCCCTTTTGCGCAAAAGGGACTTTTGCCTGAATGGGAGCAGCATAGTATTTCCGCAAAAAGCACTGATTTCTTACAGTAGGAAGTCAGTGCTTTTGCGGAAATTCAAGCGGTCAGTGTAGACAGCTGGCAAGTTTTTCCGGAAAAGCAGCTGATTTTCCGGAAAAACTGGCCAGTCTAGACACAGCCCTTGGGTTTAATCTCTATTAAATCCACTGGGATTTTTTCCATAAGGGCATGTCTACACTAGGAAATTATTTCAAAATAACTAAATTTGAAATAATAACTCCCAAAATAATAACATCGAAATAGTGTGTCCCCCTACGGGAAAGTCTGGAAATTAGTCCGAGGCAGACTCCATTATTGTGAATGCACCACTTCGACTTACAGTCCCAGGAAGCACTGGGGAGTAATTACGTTGAGTTACTCTGGGGAGTTGTTATTTGGAAATAGCAGCAGCGGAACGTTCATACTGCCGCTATTTCAAAATAACCATTATTCCCCGAGGAAAGCAGGAGTACAGATTTCGAAATAATGGGGTTGGTAGTGTAGACGCGCCGCTTAATAAGGGGGGCTATTTCGAAATAACTCCCTAGTGTAGACCAGGGCTAAGAGAACTAAGGAGGGGTGTGAGCTTGTGCCATTTCCTACCTACTCTAAACCACTGTCCACACACTGGGAAGACTCAAAGCTCACCTCCTTCCTGGGGTTTCGATTTAACAACAAAAAATTAACAATGATATAAAAAACTTCTGCTTAAACCTTCTACCCAGGCTTGACTGCTTCTATGGTTCCTCCCTCAGGACTGCTCAGCCCACAACCTGAGTCCTCTCCCTGAAGGCAGCCGACCCTACTTCCTTAATATCCGGGTAAGGTAATGTCTCACTAGCTTCAGCGAGTCAGCAGAATGCACTTCAGGCAAACCTTGGTCGAGGGGGTATAACAGCTACCAGGTGCACATCCATTTGAAGGTTGTACCCTCCAAAGACTGCAGTTATTTAGGGAAAACCATATTGGGAACAGGGGTTGGTAGTCGGTGTAAAGAAACGGAGCTGGGGAAATTTAGACTGAAGGGCACCAAAACACGTCCAAGCAGCGAGGTGCATTTGACTGTGGAGCAGCTCAGCACTAGCCTAACGCTGCTTTCACCGAATGTAATGGGAGTCCCCTCCTCCCTCCGTCCAAGCTAGATAATGGTGCAGGCCTTTGTCCATTCACTTTCACACCCAGAGCATTAAGGATTGGGGCCTTCTTTTTCCAGCTAGTCAGTCTGCTTTTGCCCTGGGCTGAAATGACAGCCTGGGAGAGGCTATCTGAACAACCGTGGAGCCAGGCGTCTCCCGAGAGTCCCTGGCTCACACACGCCACAGGCGGGGAAGCGGGTAGGTGTCAGAGGTGTTTGTTGGTGAACAGTCGTCCCTGTGGCACGCCGCTGCGTTGCTCCAGCCCGTGCAAAACCCAGTGCTACGTGAAAACTGAACAGAGCTGCAAGTCCATTCCCAGCGAGAGGGGCGTAAGGCAACTGTGCACCTGGCCTGGCAGCGCGTCAAAGCTCCTCTACTCTTTGTTTGTTCTTGTGCCTGCCAAGTCCTGCTGGGAAATCGTGGTTATCAGCTGCTGCCACGGCAAACACCGAGAGATGAGATCATTGGACAGGGAGAGACGGGCCAGCCACTGCCTCACTTCTTTCCACCCAGAGCTCTTCACGGACTGATCAAGGAAGGGATAGGCAGGGTAGGGATCTAAAATCCTGGGGGACTGGTTAACCGGTTAAATGTGAAGTTTATTCACGTTTAACTAGTTAACCATTTAAGGGGGGGCCACTCCAGCCCAGCTGCTCTCACCCCCCCCCCTCCCATGGCTGGGCTGGAGCAGCCCCTGCTTGTGATGCACTGGGCCCACCTCTGGATGCTCAGAGCAGCCCTTGTCTGTGGCTGGTCCCACAGGGCTGTAGTTGCCTCCTGGTCACAGAGGGCAGGGAGCTACTCCAGTTCCCAC